TTTACTTTTTAAAATAAATAATAATAGTAAACAACATTTAAAATTCTGTTACTGTTCTTTTCACATCAGAACATTGCTTGGTAATTTAATAAAAGGAGGATAAAATGGGCACTAACTGCTCTAAGGTAGCACTTTGAAGTTGATACTACTAAAAATACCTATTGTTTTAATAGATCTGGTCATTTCAAGCTATAAATTAGAAGTAGCAACATGAGGCTCTCCCAGGCACTGTCTCCAAAGAGATCAAGTCTAGACTTGCTTAAAACCATTGTTAAATTCTGTTGGGATTGTGCAGTTCTCAATCTTTTGTGACTGAATAACAGGGAGTAGGGAAGATTGAGCATCCAGTCAAAATGTGCCACCTGGCAAGTTTGCTCATGATACCTTATAATTACTTTAATACTTGTTGATCCTCCTGGAAATACTAGATAGACCTCTCCAACCTCCTGTTCTTCAGATGTGTGCAGATTGCAAATCCAGTGCCTCTGAATGGTTAATATGAGAGACAGGAGAACACCCAGTGCGGAACTGCTTATTTACATAATTCCATTTGGTAAATCATCATTTGATGACAAAGGAGAACTAGGCGAAGATATCTCTCTCTCCTCCCTCTCTCTCTCTCCCTCCCTCCCCCCTCCCTCTACTTGTCTCTGACTTTCAGAGACTTTACAACTCTTTTCATTCTTTCAGTGTTTTATAACTTTATTTAATGTTTCCAGGATTAATCCTGTATTAGCCTGATGGTATCTATACTATGCATTCTTTGCCAGCCTCATTTGCTAGCATAACTGATTTTTCTAAGGAATTTTATTGCATGATATGACCAAAACAAGATCACCTTAGTTTGGTAAACTTAACTTCCAGTAATTTCAGGCTTGTTGTCTAAATTTTGCTAGTTATTTTTGCTGTCCGAGGTACATGCAGTAGCCACATTCAAACCCAAAATTCGAAGGAATCTAGTTTTTTAAAATGTTTTTTATTATCCAACTTTCACAGCTATGGGTGATTAAAGGAAAACCAATAGCATTTACTATTCTGCACTTGGTATTAAACTGACATCCTGGTTTTCAAGATCTTCTCCATTTAATAATTGCAATATGCCCTAGTGATACTTTGCATTTAATTTAGGGGCACAGTGTCTTCTGTTTGGTCGGTTTTGGAACCAAGGAAAATAAAGCCCTGAACTAATTACTTTGTTTTGATTCTCAACTTTTATCTTGATGTCACTACAGCCAACTATTATCTTTACTTTAATATTCTTGATGTTTAAATGTAGTTCAGTTTTTCACTTTCTGCCTTGACTTTTAGGATATTACTTTTTAATCTGTTTTACATCTTCTTCATTTTCTGTGAGTGACACGGTGCCATCTGCTTATCTTAGATTGTTAATACTTTTGCCACCAAATTTTATTCAGATTTGTACTAAGTTAAGATTCCTGAAAACTGTCTAGAATACAACCCTGCCTCTTAACTTTTCCTATTTTTTTTATTTGTTATGTTATTGAGAATTTTATATAACATAAAAGACAAATTTAAAGGAAAGTAAAAAAATAATGCAGAAAAGAAAAAAGTAAAGTTATGAAATATGACTTCTGACATTCTCTTCATCAGATAATTACAATCTTATAATCCCTTCTCTCGCTTAGATGTTTTACAAATCGCTTCAGGACCTCATTTAATCAACATCTTTTTAAATCTTTAAACTCATAAATCATTGTATCATTTTTTTCTTCTTCCAGAAAAAGTCCATATAAGATTTCTAGTCTTTCAGAATTTTTTTTGGTTGTTTTCTCTGATCAAACAGGTTACTTTGTTCTCAGCAGATTCTGACATTTTTACAATCCATTCCTCCACTGTGAGAATTTCATTGTTCTTCCATTGTTGAACTTGCTACAAAATTGGTCTGCCATAGTTCATTTGTAATACATTGTCCATAAATCCCAATTTAAAAACTTCACATTTCTTATTTTATCTTTGTCTTTGTCCCACTCTGTGTCTCCGAAAGTTGTTTCATAGTTGCTGTTGTTGATGTAAGCCAGGGGTGTCAAACTCAATTTTATTGAGGGCTGCATCAGGGTTGTGTTTGACCTCGGAGGCCAGAGTGGGCATGGCCAGCTCAATGTCACTTGTGTCAGGGGTGCCTGTGATGTCCTGAGCCCTCTGCTAGCGAAAACGGGCTTGTGAGCTCCACTTTCAGCTGCGACGGCCTGCTGCAACCCTCTGCCAGCAAAAATGGAGCTCGGGAGGGCCGAGGGCTCCATTTTTGCTGGCAGAGGCATCGCAGGTCATTCCTTTGCTGTTGTTCTGTCCCCATACCACACACACACCCCCACAGACGGCCCGGAGTTAATAAACCACATGACAAAACTCTTTGATGATAAAGCTGGCAGCAACCCAGTGGCTAGCTGCCAATTCAGACTTTACTCACTCAAAACAAAGATTAGCCTGCCAGCATTCCGATAAAATAGGCAGAGTTTTCAACAATACCAGAATTAATCCAAATGCAGTCCGATAAAGCAGGCAAAGTCCAGTAACGCAGAAATCATGGATTAGTTCTAGTTTTTGCTCGTCACAAACTGAACTGGCCACCACACCCACATTTTTACCCTGTGGGGTGTGGTCCAATGACTCAGCTAATCTCTGCCACGCCTTCCCCTCTGCTGTGCACGCTTCTCCCTGCGCCTCTGGCGAGGGTCCAGCCAGCACTTATCTTCCTCGTCACTGTCCACCTGTGGCTGCGGGGATGTGCTTGGCTCTGAGCCTATCGTTTGGCCTTCGGTGTCCTCCGGAGGCATTGCCAGAGAGGAGGGTCCTGGAGAGGGAGGCCTTGCCAACTCCTCCCCCTCACTCTCAGAGTCTGCATCTGTCAATAGCCCAGGCTCAGGCAACGGAGCCACAACAGCTGTTTCCAGGGCAGCCACAGGGGCCAGATCTAAGCACACCGTGGGCTGGATCTGGGCTCTGAGCCTTGAGTTTTGACACCCCTGATGTAAGCAGTTGGATGGAAATGCCATCAGTTTCAGGGGCTTTTCTGTTTGGGCAGCAGGGGTTTGGACTGGAAGACCTCCAAGGTCCCTTCCAGCTTGTTTTTCTGTTACTCAGTATCTATGTGACCTCATCTTCCAATACATCTGGCTATGCTTTCGGATTTCTAGTTATGTAAAATTTCTAAATGTATTTCTTTCATCTATTTTGTTGTTTCTGATAATTAATTCTTCCTGTGGTTTATGGATTGTACGTTCTATATGCCAGTTTTGTTAACTGTATTCCAGTGCAAAACTTCCAGAGCTGACAATATCAAGAATTGCACTAGAAAGAGCAATATAGCAGTGATCATTGTGCTACTTTTTCAATTTGAGCTAATCCCTTCCATGGGTTGATGCTCCTCTCCCTTAATCCCAATCTGCACATAAATTTCTCTGGATGCAACAACTCCCAGATGAACTAGTCACTCTCATTTCTCATTTTCCTCCAGAGAAATCTGAATCTACTGTATAAAAGCCCCTTGGCTAGGATCAAGGACCAAAATCTCTTATCTCATAGCTGTATTGAGGAGACTTACCTCTGTGGGAACCCAGCAGAGGAACCAAATAAGATATTGGCATTAACTAGAGTTGTCAGCATGAGAGAATTGCTGTACTGAGATCCTTTAGTTTAGTGGGTGTAATATTTCTTATAGTCTGCAGCTTCTGCTCTGCTCTAAGAGAAGCATTATTGTGTCTTCTTTCACAGAGTTTTTAAGCAGTGAGAAATAGAAGACGATCTGTAGTGTGTAATTCTTCAGTCAGGGGACACTATAACCATATCTATCAAAATGCTGTGTGTTTACATCTTATTTACTCAACCAGATGCTCTCCAGGTAGACTGATAGTTCCTTATTTTGGGATTAAAACAATGAAAATATGGCATATAAACATTATAAATAAAATAAGCTATCAGAACCCACATTAAGCAATCCCAATAAAGTGGCTAGTAAAATGGAATGGTTGTTCTATGTTCTTTGTATTTTAGCTTGTTCCTCAACTATTCTTTTCCCTTTAAGTGATTAGAATGATTTTTTTCTATCAGCAACTGCTTTCCTGGTTTCCCTTCCCCGTAAACCTTTTCATTCTTCTTTCTTCTCTCCTTTCTTATAATCCTGCCTGTTAGTACCTCCCTATCTTGTTCTCCTTTTTAACCCAATATCCTACTCTTCTGGGGTCTCATCACTGTTCTCTTCAGCACCTTTCATTAAATGTTTTTTCATTCATCAGAAAGGAAGGGATTACAAGAGAGTAAGACGGCACAGTGGGAAATACATATTGACAGGAATGCAGTGGTGCTGGCAGTTCCAAGCCCACTGGCAATCAACTGATTGTTCCCCATTGTGTGCCTACTTAGTCTCTGTAATCCTTTACTCTCCAAACTCTCTACTCTTCAAGATGGTGAGAAATGGGCCAGCCACAGAATAACATGTACTGACCATAATGGCAATTATGTGACTGGGGGAATGCTGTGAAGATTGCAAACATGAGCCTTGGTAGCCCAAATTATTTTTCAGGACTGTCATAACTTCTAACAGTTGCTGCACGGTAACATAAGTCTATTGCATTTTTATTGCCGCTTGTAAGATGCCTAGAACACTTAAGGGAGTGGTTGGTCTCGATATTTAAGTGAGCCACGATGGCGCAGTGGTTACAGTGCAGTTCTGCAAGCTACCTCTTCTGACTGCCGGCTGCCTGCAATTTGGCAGTTAAACTCTCACCAGGCTGACTCATCCTTCCGAGGTGGGTAAAATGAGAATCCAAATTGTTGGGGGCAATATGCTGATTCTGTAAACCACTTAGAGAGGGCTGTAAAGCACTGTAAAGCAGTATATAAATCTAAGTGCTATTGCTATTTAGAAATATAAATTGCCTGTCACAGTAGTTCAAAGCCACCTTTCCTGAAATTTTAGAAGTCTTGACACTGTTATGTCCCGCATAGAAGAAAATTGGACAATGATAAAATCCACAGCTTGGTTTATTGAATCCTGCAAGATTTTATTTCATTCTACATTTTTTTTAAATAACACAAACACAAACGTGGATAGGATGGCAACATTCCACAGTATAGTTCAGTATCCAGCCCACCTGCCAGCAACAATGACCAGCATGTAGCCTGGCAAAAGGTTTGCCCTCCTGAGAGACGGTTGGGGAGCCAGTCACAAAATAAGATTAAAAATGGGCGGCAAATTAATGCACTTTCCAAAGCAAGCAGTAGTAGAAATAGTTACACCAAAAAGCAATCATGCAGGAATAGAACACAGTATTATTATTTTTTCAAAAATGACATTTCTGAATTTTGTTTTTCCACAAGTTCCAACCTTATTGGAAACACAGGGAACACAGAAGAGATAAAGTATTTTTCATTGTGTTATTTCCAAAATGTGTGTTAAGTTTAAAAATACAAATGGACTCTTCATATTAAGGTGATGAAATTGACCTTTTTGGACCTTCCCCCCCCAGCTTTTTTCTGTAGTAAATACACTTTATTTAAAATGACTTTGTACAGGACTTCAGTCTGGTGTGATAATTATTGATTGCATTTAAATTGACTATTAAACTAATCCTAGAAAGCTGTAATCCTGATAATTTAACGATCGGTGCAATGTGACAACTTTTTGTAGTTCAAAAGAATTATCTTGCCACTCCATGAAATGTAGAATTGAACATAGCCCTAGATATGACACTAAACTGTTTAGTCATCATAGTTTATTTATTGATAAATGCAATTAAATTATTTCACTCTTTACTTTTGCCCAAGCACACTTTTCAAGCCCAATGGCCAAGAAGTGCCTTGAGTCATGACAAGAAAAAGGCAATAAAAGTACCTTTGGCTCTTCAACTATAAATATCCAAATCAACATTTTTTCCTGTTGATCCAATAACTTCATTTGAGCTCCCCTATGACAATTTCTTAACAGACTACTTATTGAAAATGCACTCAGAACCATTAAAAGAAATGTTTTTGCAATAATCTGGAAGTTAATCATTCTGCATAAATAAAACACAATGAAAATAGGTAAATAACATTTCACTATCACACTATAATCACAGCCAATTGATGATCACACTAGCTTTTCAAGTTCTAAATTGCTTAGGCAGTTGAAGGGTTCAGCTACGACTGATAGATTTTTTCCCCCAACTATAAAAAAAAAAGCTAATACCTTTTACAAAGGATGTTACACAGAAATTGTTACCCAATTTCTTCTCTTTCAAGACATAAGCAGTCACCATGAAGGAATTCCCCCATTATATGTGTCTACAGCAAGGTGGGAACAATACTAAAAATAACATTTTTTAAAAAATTTAGGTGAATGAGGAAAAATAGGTCTGATTGCATAATCTTGTGGGGAAATCATAAATGGGTTTATTTTGTCACATGTAAAAACCTATTTCTTGAAAGAGAATGTAGGGTTATGAGGTGTGTGGTTTTTTTCCCTTTGAAGAAGCTTCTGTGGATCAAAAAGTTTTCTCCAAATGAAAGGAGAATGAAGGATGCTATGCAAGTTTCCTGACCTAGGCAAACAGGTCTTTATATCTCAGGCATAGTAGCCTGGATTCCTACTTATTCCTAGTAATGAAGTACTAAATTCCTAGTAATTCCTATATATTTTACTATATCTCTTTAAGGATGCATCATTGAGATGATAATGGATTCCTTTAAGGTTATGGTTAAATAGACTTGGCAGCTGGCAAAGTAGGCCTCACCCATTTCCTGACCTTCTACAATTTGCTCAGATTGGCTTCCACTTCATGATCCAACTGCTCCCTTCCCAATAAGATGTACTGAGTAGCCTTGGAGCAGACATCTGTTTCTGTTCTTGAGACTTGATACCTGAGACTTGAACATTCTGACACAGAATAGAAATAAGCATGCTTGGGCTGATGCCTATCTACTCTTTCAAGTGATTTCTTGAAGGTTGGCTATCACAGTCTGTGGCAGTCAAAAAGAAACAAAAATCTATTATAGTCAACTGTAGTTTAGGAGAGTTAAGCTATATCCATATCAATCTTTAAGATGCTACCAGATGCTTTTCATGTTTTTTAAAATAAATACTATCATCTCTTGAATTGTAAAATCTCACTTTGATGCCTATAAAATTCTCCTGCCACAATTTTCTTTCCAATTATGAGCTCTTTACACAAGAAAGGGGAGGGGGAGAAATCACTCACTAGCACAAATGAAAGCAATTAGTTTTTAAGTCAAATTTTCCACAAGTCAAATTTAAGCTGACCGTTCTTTCCTGAAATATTTTATACAAGAAAAACATATCATAAAGTCTCCATGTATAAAACTATGTGATCAAAGGGAACATTCAAGGGAATATTTAAGAAGAAAAGGAATCATCATAGAGTAAAATTCAGACATCAAATGCAGGCAGGAGAGCCTTGTTTCCTGAAATAAACAATTGCCATTTTGTTAGAAATTATATTGCTTTATACTGTACATACTGTGTTGCTGAAAAAAATACTTTCAGTTGGATTTGGGCTTAGTCTGCACAATTCCTAAATATATTAGCGTTGTTCTGTGGCTCATGTTTTGGGAAAGTGACTTCCATGTCTCCAGAAAATACAAGGTGATATTGTATCAGACATCCTTTTTAAAGCCATAATAGCCAAAACTGAACCGAAAAGTTTAATTGGAATGAAAAGGAAGTATTAAAATGGAATCCAAAGGGAAATATGGACACGTGGAAGAACAAATACAGTCTCCATCACAATATTCAAAACATTGCTAGAGACTCCAGAGAAATGAGCAATTATCTTCAAAGGATTCAATTGCATTCATTCATTGCATATTTTGATGAAAACAATTTGTTGTTTTTTTTTTGTCTAAGTGCATTTGCTGCTAAGTTTATTCATCAGAGGTTCTTTTCTTTGAAAAATTGACATTAGAAGAAAGTATGTGCTTCATAATCTCTCTCTGTAAAACTCATGGCGTCAATGCAGGAATTTATCTGTAGCAAAGTGACATTTGGGACCACATTTTATATCTGTATTTGTAATCTCAATACAATACATCATGATAGCAACCTATATCCTGACCTCGTGCTGACAATAGAGATCTATGAATCTTATCTTAAATATTTTCATAGTGCATCCAAGATTCATGCTATATGACACTGCATATGTATAGCAACTGGAATATCCCATCTAACACATTATTTATTTTGCTGGCATTTCAAATGTTAAGACTGAGTTGTAAGTCTACAGTTCAAAGCACTTTCTTACGAGTTCCAAAACAACAGTGATTAGGTCTAAAATTCAGTTGTACAATCTTAGCCCCATTTATATAACAGATGCAAAATTTACACAACCAAATGCCAGTTTACATGCCATTTTCAGTGGCCACTGCAAATGCTCCCAAGTATAACAGTTAAGAGCCAGCTGGACATGGCTTTCTATGTCTCTTCAACAGCTAGTTAGTCATCAAGCCCATCTTAACAATACACTCGATTGCTGGAGTTCAGTTTTTGTCACATACAATATGTGACAAGTGGAAGATCAGTTGAAAAATATTAAAATGAAAATGAAATTCGATTAGATGATTTCTTGGCATACTTGCTCTTAGCTTGCCATCAACATTTCCCAAAGTTTGTAATGGGCAGGAGCTGGTGAGGCTGGCTAGCTATTTGCAAAACAGTTTTAAATGATAATAAAAATAATTCCCAGAGCTACCCCACAAAGGAACTCTTTTTTTTTTTTTAAGAACACTACGGGTAGGTGCACAACAGCTACCACTTCTGTTTGGGGGCTCTAAAAGGCAAAGTGATAGAACTGCTTTTGCTTGGCTTGAACAATGTGGATAAAATCCAGGCAATTTTATGGCAAGTGGGAGGCTTCGATATGGCAATGAGCAAGGCCAACGAAGCCAATAATAGTCTGTAAGCAAAATGATGAGGCACACCATCAAATGCTCTGCACTGACACAATGAATTTGGCTCCTGACAAGCGTGCAGTTCTGGTTTGCAACTTGGCTTGCTGGTGTTGCTCATCTGCAACCTGCCAGTGAGGATCCTTCGTAAAAGTTCCTTTACACCGAACCAGAAAATGTAACTAAAGTGCAAATATACTCAGTTTCCTCCAATTGTTTCAAATGTTTAGTATTTTTATTACTAGTATTGCCATCTTCACCTTGATATCATTATGAGACTTGGTGATATTCTTCATTCTTGTGGTATTCTTCAATTCAAAGGCAAGAACAGAAGAGGGATGCTTTATGCCAAATAGAAGAGATTGGAAGCTGTCATGAGTACCATCATGGTAATATGCAAACATTAGGTAATGTCAAAAATAGTGCATTGAAGAATATCCGATAATCATAAAAAACAGACCATGTAATCTTTGGATCTTATTGCTTGCAAATAGTCCGAAAATTATCATCATACAAAAATTGTATCAAGTCATTTGTTATTCAGTCTTCACTGAGAACTGTTTCTGTCTTTCCTGCATCTGCAATGAATAATTGAAGAGAGAGTTAAATAGCCACACAACAAAAAAATAAATAAATTCATGCACAACCCCTGCACAAAGTTAATCAGCATGAACATTTCATATGCTGTTTGACCATTTTTCTTATTTTTTTTTTTGTTGTAGAATAGTACATATAAAATTATAAAAACAATATAATCAAAATGTGAAACTTTTAACACACACACACCACAAAAAAAAAACCCTATCAGGAAAAATAAATCTTAAAAAACCCTAAATTAAGCATAGATTGTGCGTTTAATTCCACTTCCAAATTTTCTTCAGAATGCTTGAGCAAAGAGAATTTTAATTTAAGACTGAAAAGAGTCAATCCTATCATCTTTGAGAAGATACCTTTAAGTTCAGTGACATCACAGAAAGGATTTATTTTTGTACACATGTAGCATTTCTCTGAACAAAGATACGCAGAGAAGAATTTCCTGTGAAGTTCTTGGTAAAGGAAGGATGGTATGAAAGGCATTCTTTGAGATATTGAATTGGGGGGGGTGTCACCGGGGGGGGGGGTTTATTGCTATTTAATATTTTTATATTGTTTTTTTTTTAATCTTTGCAAGCCACCAGCAATCACTGAGCTGGGTAGCCATATACATTTTCTTAAATAAAAGAAATAAATATTTGAGTCCCAGTCATTTAGGCATGACACAGGCATAGAACAGCCTACAGAAACTTGTTTCAATGTGTAGCCTGTATTTCTGGACTGGGCAAGGTGTTCTCTATGTAATTAATTCTGTGACATCAGAACACAGTAGAATGTGTTCTTGGAATACATGGGAGTTAAAAATAAATTCTCATACCAACTAAATTTCTGAATTTCTTTTTGGCTTCTGCTCTTTCCTCCGCATCGAAATACCACACAGTCATTGCATACCTACAGAGGGGGAAAAAAATCCATGATCCATTACATTAAGGCTTCATTATATCTTTGGAAACTCACAGAGCATACAATTTATTCTGTTGCTTGGTGACTTTACATGGCAATAGTTTCAAATATGAAGACAGTCAGATAGTTACTAAACTATTTTCTTCATTCTGGCACGTTCAGCTGTGCTGGAACTGCAACTCCAATTAGTCCTAACCAGTAATGCAAGCCCAACCAAACTAGAGGGCACTAGTTTGGGGAAAACTGTTGTGAAATTTGTAAGTTCCCCTAAAACGCCATGTCTTGCTTACATATTACTATGAAAAGGGACATCATCAGAAAGAAGCACATGGGCAGAAGCCTTAATACATTCTCTAGCCAGGGCAAGAACAATTACTGAAAAAGCATCAGCATTACAGATGCAGTAACGCTGAAAGTCACGGGTGCTTGTGACAAAGAAAAAAATGTCTAAATTCCAAGTAAGGCATTACTCACAATTTGCTATATGGATCAAAACACACCTATCAAAATTTTACCAATTTTACCTGAATTGGTGGAGGAAAAAATCTCTCAAATGGTTTGTGTGTGCATGTGTGTTTAGTTGGGTCCTTTAAATGAGGCTGAATATCTGGCACACTAAACTATAGGGCAGAAATGCCTATTGAGCCAGGAAGTTAACATTAATCTGCATAACTGCATTCTTTTTTTTCTTTCTATTCAGTTATGTCTGATACTTGGACATTGCCTGGGCAATTCCCTGCAGTTTTCCTGGCAAGGTTTTTTTGGAAGTGGGTTGCCATTGCCTTCTTCCTAGGGCTGAGAGAAAGTGCCTGGCTCAAATTCACACGATTGGCTTTGTGTCCAAGGCTGGGTTAGAACTTGTGCCCAAGGCTGGATTAGAATGACTCCCAGTTTCTAGGCTAAAGTCTTAATCACTATATCAAACTGGCTCTTAACTGCATATTATGTATATATACATAGTAAATACCAATCAGTAGATATTCAATACAGAGTTAAAAATGAAAAATGTGATGATTTCCTTTTCAATAAAGTAGGTAATTAGAAAAATGCAAGAATAAAAGAACACACTTCTATATCAAAACTTTTCTACGTAATAGATCATTTTCTCCAGTATAATTCCCAAATTATACGACAACCGGAATATTGTTCCTTTCATCCAGCAAGCTTAAGAATTTATATTTCAGAAGTCTACTGGATCCTTTCTGAATCTGCTACCTGAAATCATTTTATTGACAATACTGGAATTGTACATCTAACTATATATGCAATCTCTCACTGAGCAACGGACTGCTGTCCTGTATAATTATCTTTAAAACCCACACCTAAGGTCTTTACCTTGTTGCATAGGAAGGCTGCACTTCATGTGGGTTTCTTCGGTCTGACCAGAAAAAAAGTAATCTGTCAAAGATGGGCTCAACATCGGCTACATAGGACCTGCCCTCTGGGAATATTCGTAGGATCCCCCCATGCAGCTTAAACAGAAAGAAAAGAAAAATGTTTTTGATTAGACAGGATAAGCAGATCTTAAAACAGCTTATTTTGTATATATATGCATAAAAAAAAAAGCCAGATGTGGAGATTTACTGAGGACCTCACTGGACATGAATGGGGAGGATGAAGAACTCATCTGCTGATAGCAATAACAACAGCACTTATATATACCGCTTCACAATGCTTTACAGCCCTCTCTAAGTGGTTTTCAACATATTGCCCCCAACTATCTGAGTCCTCATTTTACCAACCTCGGAAGGATGGAAAGCTGAGTCAACCTTGAGCCGCTCAGAATCAAACTTCTGGTATGAGCACTGAGCTCATCTGCAACCACTGCACCACCCTGGTTCATGATGAAAAATTTGCCCCAATCATAGAGGTAGAACCTTCCTCTCATCATACTTCAATGGAAGAACATAATTAACTCATAATCCCAGGGCTGACTTAAGTATGTACCATTTGTGTTGCAGTTCCTGAAGGGTCTTTGGATATAATATAGTTGAAACTCCTGCCACATTCTCTTTGCTCTAGTATAATGGTGGACATTTTGACTGATGTGCCTGGAGACATGTAGCACCAATTTAGTTATACCTCTGCCAGCTGAGAAGCACAGCTTCATAACTCATCAATCACCCTTCCGGCAAGGGGCAGTTGCATCATTTGTGAAATATTAATGGGAATATTAATGGGTAATAAATGGGTCAGTTTGAAGCACTGATCACTTCTTTTCCCTGGTATTTATATTTATCGGAATCCCAATAAATATAAGTAAATGAATGCACTTTTTTTTAAAAAGGAAAATCATGTCTAAGGACATGATAGTTGTTAAACATAAAGCAAGTAAAAAATAATATACAGATAATACTATTATTTAAAACTGCTTTTTTACTTAGCCAAATTAATTTGTCCTTTGTGTTTATTGAACAAATCTTAAAATGAATCAAGTATTAATGAGGTAGGTGGGGAAAACAATGCTGCTTTTCTCAAGGCTTTCTGACCCTGATTTTGTCTGGTTTTCCACAACAGACCTGATGTACTCTTTTTTTTTGTTTTGACAAACTTCTCGCTATCACATCCAGATGGAAAATTTGAATCACTTCCATCCCTAAACTTAAGTGTTTTATATATATAATGAGCAAAATATTTAAAGAAAAAGAAAGTTGTATTTTCTGCTGGGAAATCCTGACTCAAGTTTCCTTAACTGATGGACTGCAAACCCTTATCTGATTTCTTAATTGCATGGTAAAAACACAGAGAGGGATGGGGGAATTAATATTTTGTTCTGCCTTTTCAGAAGCAGGCACCATAGTCTGACTTCATATAAAACTGTCTGTTCCAATTTATTTAAATGTAAACATTTAATTTGTTACAGCAATTAAAAATGTGCAGAATCCCTTGACAATTCTTCAGAGAATGCTTTAGTTAGCCATTTATCTTTTCCTTTTTTTAAAAAAGCTGGAAGATTCTTGATCCCTTTTAGTGTTGGTGGAAAGCGGTATCCAAGGATGCTGCACAATCAACAAGTAATCATTATTGCTGTTATATTTATAACCCATCATCGTCCTGTCTGTAATGTTGATTGAGAGAGAATGTCACATTCCAAGTCATAGTTTCAGTGGTTGAGGGGAAACTTAAATTTGGTATTGTTACCATGTTTATTTCAGATTATGCCAAAAGCACTTTCGCCAAAATATTAACATTTCAAATTTAACTGTCCCCTTTTTCTATTTAAAACTTTCTCAGATCAAAATCTTGTTACATTTTGAGCTGCCGGTATTATGTTTGCTGCTATGTTCAAACTCCTGGATTATTATTTTTCTCCTTTTTTTTTTTTTCTTAATCCAGAATGAACGATACCTCACTGAGTGTTTCTTTTTCTTTCCTGCTGTTCCAAATGTATTTAAGAAAGTGAGGTTTTGGTCAAACCCAGGGTCCTTAAAGGCTCCACTGTGGCTATGAGCTAGATTTCTTTCTCTCATTTCCCAGCCGCTCAACTCATGAGCTAACCACAAATCCTGTGGACTTCTCCAGAGAAGTGCAGGTGGGTCACTCCTTATCTGGAGAGGCTCCACTGGCCTGGACTAGTTAACTGTCCACAGGAAGCACTATAACAGATTCTTCGTTCCCTCAGAGATGTCCTAGTTTGCCATAGTCTTCACCCAGAAGCTGAATGTGCCCAAACTTAATAGAACACTACTGTAACATGTTGACAGTGAGGTTTGCAGCAAGATTGTTATTATAATCAAATTTACATCTTTCTTATCCAGATGGCATCTGTGGTCTTTTATGACAAGTAAGCACTGGCTTACCACCAAATGTATATTCATCAGAGGACTGCAGTTAAAGAGTTCTTCCAGCATGCTTAATACATTGGCATTAATGCACAGAGTTTTAAAACATATAAATAATTTCCTTAACTTCTTGGATGCCTCCAAATGATAAGAAATGTCCCTATGTCGTCTATGCATTTTGGTGTATTTTTTTAGAGAAAAGGGAAGGATTGTTTTTATTTTCCACTCTGAGAAAAGTCTATGGGATCTCAATGTCATATTAAAAAATAATGTTCAAGTGTTCCTAGGCATCCACAAGAATTGGACATGGTTTGAAGTGGGCAATCTTCTAGTTTTAGGGCTTTGAGTAGCTGAAAACCAATGCTTTTGACAGTTAGCAAACCTAAAGGCAGAATGTCAACTTGCTTTTCTTTAAATATATCACAGCAAACAGACTCTAAACTCCCACACACACGTTAGCAAATACAATGCTTTTTATAAGGCCAAGGCATGGCAAACAGAGGGAGAAGTTTTCATGATCTTATACTGTATGTAGGGCAAAATCAAACAAGTATTCTTTTTCAAAGGCGGCTTTATATGGGACAAAAACAAGACGACCACAGCTGAACCTGCCAATCTTGAGTTAAACTACCTCAGTTGTCAGAATCCATTCATTCCTTTACAGGCACCCATTTGTTTTCATCAAACTAAATCCTTTACCTGTATCTTTAAATAGTGACAGACACGCCAATGGCTCAAAAATTCTAAGCTGCCCCCATCTTCAATAAGCTGTCTATCCAATTGAAATTAAAAAATAATGCAACCATGAAATGGATTTATCTTCACATCTCAGCTACCCAGAAGCAATGGTGTTGTTGTATTCAGAAATTTCACGGTACTTCATAAAAAATGGAAGAGCAAGGAAACAGCTATGTGGAGAAGTATTGTTTCTGGAGTAGGTTCCTTTTGAGTCTGCATCGCAACAACATGTGAGAAGCTACATACCTTTGAATCCCAGTTCTTGTTCAGGTAATAAATGCAGGTGATACATCGCCCATCTCCATTGGGATTGTCCACATGACGCACGTAGCCAGTTCCATTCCCAGGATAGCAAGCTACCATAGCCTGGAAGATGATATAAAAAGAGAAAGAAAGATGCTCAGGATTTTTTCCTATAGTTTGGTAGCTTTTCTAAATTTCTCTATTTGCTTTTCAGATGCAAATCAAAATACAATTTTAAACCACCTGTCTTAGAACTGAACAGTTGTAGATGCTGTTAAGTTTAGTCAGACATATTGTATTCTTCAAAGTAATTCTGCTCCTACAGAACAGTGCTTTTAAGGAGAAACGCTCCTAGCGAAGATGATACTAAATCTTCTTTGACCTGATTCCTTAGCAAATGCAGGCTGGAAGTTAGAAGCCAATATTAACAGTCAGTAAAGGAATTGTGGCAGATATGAATAATTTTTAAAATGCAGCATGGTTTTGCTTTATTTTACTAACTTATTTGATCAATTTGCATGGCTGCTCATCTTGCAGCTTAGCAACTCTATTTAAGAATAGTTGTCCACCACAAGTCTGAAATGAAACAATTAAGATATGAGTGTGCATACCATAAGGGCAAATGGTTGGAACATGATCTTAAGGTTCATTCCATTCCTACTGGACATAACCGAGAAATATATGTAGTATATCTTCAAATGTCTTCCTTCTACCACAAAACATGAGCATCTTTACAAATATGGTTTTGAATCTGAATGGAATAGCCTTCGCTATACTAGTTATCTCTCTTGGGCATTTTTACATTTATTTCAGATTTAAATTATTTTGCAGAAAAAATTGTATCTCACTAAAGCGCCCTACCTCAACTGGGTACCTTTAAAATGTGTTGGTATTTCAAATCCTGTAATTGTAACCCTAATCAGTTCCTACACTTTGGGAAATTAGTTGAACATTTGGAAGCAAGTACTAGGAAAGTTTGCTGAGCAACATTTGGTAAAATGAATGGTAAACAGCAAGCAGTATAGTTTTCATTTCACTGAACTTGTACAGAACATGTGCTTTAAAGAAGTATCTTTAAATCTGTAGAAAAGTGCGAATACCACTTTTTTCAGGTACCATAATTCAGGATCCCCCCCCCCCAATATTCCCATTAAATAAATATAATAAAATCCATTTTCCACCCCCAGAATGTTTATATCTAATGCCTTTCATCAAGTAAAACTTAGATACTGTGCACAGATGTTTAATTTCTTGTCTATATGGGACTGTAAGGACCTCCCTGTCAAGGCTTAAACCCCAGAATTAGCCAACTGTGTTTCAGAAGTAATTTCTTGTTTTAATACTTTCATGCCTGCTCATATAACCATCCTCATTTCGTGGAATTAAGCAGAAGACCAAAGATGAAGCTACCCTGCTTAAGAATCATAAGGGACTGCTACAGAGGATATGAGCAAAAGCATATTTAGTGCTGGTTATGGAGGAAATGGGCTCTTCACTCATTTATTCTGGTTTTTTTTTTTTAAACACAACTAGAACCATGTCAGAGGCCTAAGGCTGCCATTCCTGATTATAGTAATCACCACCATTACCATTTAATGGAACCCAAAGCTCTATGGCCTGAGGAGGCAGATTTTAGTAGTCACAGCAGCATATTCCTCAACTCATTTTTCTTTTAGAGACAAATGACATTACAGCATAAAACCACAGTCTGATGACAAGGCTGTGAAAAAAGTTATATTTGGTGGGACAGCAAAGCAATCATCACTCACAATGGCTCGGAATTACTAGAACTGAACTGCTACATCTCTGTAGGACAACAAACTAGGAAAGATCCCGATTCTTTCTTCCCCCTTTTAAAGAAAATCCCAAGAGAGTACTAGTTAGGCATTTTAAAAATATTTCCTAAGTTACCACCAAAGATCATTTTATATTGAAAAAGAAAGACAAAACAAAATCTTACTTCAACAAATCATCTGACATATCCATTTCAGAAACCTAGACTTAATGTAACTTTTCTTTTTTTAAAAAAAGAGTGCCCTCTTTTCATGGAAAGGAAGACAGATTTACCAGCTCTTAGAAATTAAAAATGGAAAGAAAGATTACAAATCCAATTGTTCATCATCTGCTTCACATCTTTTTTCCTCACAAGACCTTCAACCTACCATTTACCACATGCCCTTGTGCATTTCCCCAAATTAATACTTGGCTCTGTAAATTTTTACTGATCCAAATATTTATTGAAGGACAAGGCTTCAAGTCACTTTTCTTCTAACCTCACAACCAACTGTAAACATGCATGTGGGTTAGATTTGGATGCAACATGCAACTTGGGCAAAGGTTAAATCAGAAAGGTAACCTATAAGTAAGAGCTACCGTACCTGTTTTAAGGCAGAGATTGGTCCTGCTAGAATATGTAAACTTTTGTTCTTTCTGAAAATGATGCATGCAATCCATCTGAAGATTAGAAGGCTGAATGGAGCTGGTGTAGTATAATTGTTAAAACACGAATAAGAAATCTAAAATCCTCCAGGGATGATTAGAATCTCCTTCTTGCTAGTTGCATCTAGACTGAACGAGGCTCCCACTTCTAAGTCTGAAATTTAGTCCCAGGCATTATGAAGTGGGAAAATTTGAGGCATCTGAAAGCCTGAAGAGCTACTTAAAGACTTTACTCATGCTCTGTTTCCTCATCTTTGAGAAAAACTTGCCATCCGAACAGAAAAATGTTCTGAACATGAAAGATATACTTTCACCAAGAATAGTTCGGTTTAAAAATGAGAGCAAAAAAGAGTACTGAAATATTATTAATTTCCTTAAACCAGCAAACAATTTGGATGGAGGTTTAAAGAAGAGAATTTTTCTGAATCTCCTAGGACTTATTGAAAGATTATCAAAGTTACAGCTGGAATAATTCCAGCACAGATGAGGCTGGCTTCCATGTAGAAAACTGGCTGTTGACGGCTTCTTTTGCATAAATTTAAAAGCAGAAAAGGAAAAAGACCAGAAGAAGGAGCCAAGGGTCCTATCGATAATTATAGAAGGTAGTTTAAAATAACTGAAAGTGGCCAAATCAATACAGTTCACATCTTCCTCTACCAGTGCCACAAATAACATTATACACTTTGCATTTTCATAGCTGTGATGTTGATACATAAACACCCAGCTTATTTGAAGTCCTTGTTTCTATGCTTCATGCTGCTTTTTAAAAATTGCTTAACTATTACTGAAACGCATCTTGGAATCCACTTTCGATGGTGACAAATGATACAAACATATTGGAAACAAGCATATAAGAGAAAGAAGATAAGTTATTCCAAACAGTGTTGTTTATTTTTTAAAAAGGGGAAGGAGTGCACTTGAACTGTGTTTTGTTACAATAGGTCTCTGTAAATTAGAAGCATGTTAGGTCTGTTTGAAACAGGCTTGGAAATGAAATCCTGGGATCTTAACAGCTGAACACAAAGTCAAGCCAGTCTCCAAAACAAGTAGCAGAATTCTTCAAGCCAAGTGCATGTTACCTATGATCTTAAGTGGCTTAGTGAGGGATTTCTTTTCATAGCACTTTTTCTCAAACATGCCTTTTTTATGAGCCTAGAGTGGATGGCAAAGTAGGAAATATTTATTTTCTGATTCTGGGCTTGAGAAACAATTTTTTTTGTCACTTGCCAGCTTGCACAAGAGAAACTTATTTCCAAATGAATTGGAAGTTATCAATACATCTCATTCTGGATTCAGATCAACAGAATTAAGGTGTTTATCTCCAAAGCAGCAGGACAGTTTTGAGTACACCTTGTGAGTCTTGCCTCCTCTGAGGAAGACTAGAGGTGTGCAAAATATTAATTCCATTTCAATGTGTCTGACAAATGTATTTTTTCCATGTAATAAGTGTCAGCCAATTGTAGCGTAATGTCCCAGATGTGCTCTTAATACTGGCTAACAGTTTATGTTATAGCTTCTTATTCTCACCTATGTAGTTGCCCAGAAAGCCTCTCCTGATTTAGCATCTCCAAGCCAGAAGACTTCTCGACTGCCACCTGCCTAATATTTTAAGTTAGTAGCAGCTATTTATACTATGTTGACCCTGGTTCTTGGTATTCATTCTTGGCTTAATAGTGATTTTTAGACTTTTCAAACAATATAATATATTCGGTTATCCAGAACTAACAAATGATATACAGGTAGTCCTCAACTTACAACCATTAATTTAGTTACCATTGAAAGTTACTGAAAAAAGTTGACTTACAACCAGTACTCACACTTATGACTGTGGCAGCATCCCCAGGGTCATGTGATCAAAATTCAGATGCTTAGCAACAGACATGCGTTTAAAATGGTTGCTGCATCCCAGGGTCACATGATCAAAATTCAGATGCTTAGCAACAGACATGCGTTTAAAATGGTTGCTGCATCCGAGGGTCACGTGATCGCCATCTGCGACCTACCCAGCTAGCTTTCGACAAGCAAAGTCCACAAGGAAAGCCAGATCATTTAATGACTGCACAATTCATTTAATGGTTTTAATTTTAAAATCATTTTAAAATCATTTAAAATTCTAATTGAAATTTAATTTTAATTTTAAAATGTTAAGCAAATTTTAGTGATTTGCTTAACAACTGTAGCAAAAAAGGTCATAAAATAGGATGTGACGCATTTAACAATCACTGTGCTTAGCAACAGAAATTCTGGTCCCATTTGTGGTCATAAGTCAAAGAGCACACTGAAATTGATAGAGTTCTGCCATTTTCCTCTTTTATCATAAAATAAAGAACAAAACTGTGCTGCATATTTTTTTCTTTTTCTTTTTTTTTACTGATTCAGGAAGGGTAAAGAAGAATGTCAGGGACCGTGTTGAACCTAGTTCAAAGAAAACTATGGGTCATCACCTGGCCAAAGTGTAGGAAGCTATTGAAATACAGAAAGTATTTTTGAAAACCAGCTTCATTTCCAGTTGATTTACTTGTAGGAGTCCAGCAGTTGAAGTGTGTGGAAAATTCATTAGACTGAAAACAGTGGATTTCGGCTGATGGAATTTATATTTTAAAAAACAGGAGCCTTTGAAATAAAAGGCTTAGCACCCCTAAGAAAAACAATCTACTTGTAATTCTATATTACTTAACATTACT